CCTATCGGGCAGGAGTCTGATGTTGTAGCACACGAATCTCTTTCCAATGCGTTTATCTCAACAGACACAGGAACCCGCCGGATCAGTAATGGACTTGGTTTATCTCCTTGTTCCTGTTCCGTGACTTCGATAAAGCTGACTCGTTCCGAAACATCCTTTTCCAATGGGTTTTGTGGTTTATGTTGGTCATGAGTAAAAGGTTCGCTATTTTTTGCTCTTGGCCCGTCAAAAGCGTGATCACTCTTCTTCTCGTGCGGTAGAATGTCCAGCTCCTTTCTAAATTGTTTCGAGTCCACTTCAATGGCTGTCAGTACGGTGGAAGAACCAGTAGCTATGTCGGAATCGGCTACTTGACTTATTCCGTGGTAAGGAGGTGAGTAATGACTGGGATTTGGGGGCTGAAGTTGCTGTATGAAAGCATTTTGAGGTTGCCTGTGAACTTGTTGCTGTTGTTGCAATTGTAAGCTATAGGCCGCAATTGCTTTAGAATCAAATATTTGAAAGCCTAGCTCACTCTGTTCCATTGCACTGCTTGCCGCTAGACCTTCAGGTTTTTGGGCCCTAAACCGAGAATTGCGGTTGCGATTTTTGCAATCCATAATATAGAGCACGAAAAAGACAATGATTCCAAGCAGACATCCCAAATCGGGTAACAAAGAGTGCACAAACTGGAAAAACAATGACAAATTTATCATGTTTTGCGGTAAATAAATGAGCCAAATAACAAAATAAAGTTCACTTTTGAATAAGCAATAAGAGAGAATCATCTTCAATTTAAAAAAGACTCTGGTAAAATACGAGTTTGCCCAAATAAATATATTTATCGAAGGTATTAATAGCAAGATGTTGTAGCCTTTTGTATGGTTACGGCCTCCTTTCGATATATAGAATTTGTTATAATTAGTTTTCGCAACTTGGTCATATTGGCAAGAAGTCTTAGAGGAAGACATCTTGTCCGAAGACCATAGTGGGTATGATAATTTCAAGAGTAGCACCATGGACTTGGTACATTTCTAGACATTTCGCCGGCATCGTCAGTGAGCCCTGCTATTCCTAGCACCACACTACAGCTCGTCAGCTATACTCATATAATTGTGGAAAAATTCTACTACTAGTTTTTCATCACCTTAAACGAAATAAGTTGAATACAACTCATATTACTGATTTACTGGTAGTCTCGAAACTCTACTCCAATACGAAAATACAAGAGTTTTATTTATTTTTATCTCTTACTTACGAATAGTCATAATTAGGGTAGGGCGCCATGGAAAAATTGTAATTGAAAAAAGGCGCCGCGACTAGGAAAAGTTTGGGAACCACTGCTGTAGACGTATTCCTTTCGTTTCCGAGTGTTCCTTTCTGGCCTCCTTGTAATTAGTTTTCCCAAAAGTAAACGTATAACCTTTGTCCAGTCGTCTTTTTTTGCCCATATTGCGGTTCTCTGATCTTCACCGAGTTTTCTCAGGCAGTATGCAAAGTTTTCACTAATCCTGCCTTATTTAAGTTTCCAGTTCATTAGATTCCTTTCTCATATCTTGCTTTTTCTTGCATTTTTGCTATATGCAGCCAAACCTTCTGTCGATTTCCACTCGATTTCGTGTCCCATTCCTGTGATGCGTTCCGCTATTTCGGATCTATCCGTATCCATACTTCTGCAGTCTTTGATGTTCCTTGATTCGTTGGTTGATTTTTATTCCTGCTTCGCCAGTATACTTCTGCTCACAGTTGCCGCATTTGATGCTATATACTCCGAAGCAATCTAGTTTGTCAACCTTCTCGGGTTGCATCAGCAGGCTCGTGAAGAGTGTTGTCTTTTCTTTAGTTATCACTTTTATATTCCATTTTATTACAACCCTCTCAATTTTTGGATCAGTTCACAAAAGGTCAGATATATCCACTTATGGTCGTCCTCCCGATTCCTGATCTTGATTTTGTAGAATCCCAGTTGAAATATACTCTTTATGACTCGTATATTTCATTATAGAGAGTCTCTGGGAGAAAATCAGAATCAGTTTCTCCAACTTCTCGTTATAGAGCTCAGTGTCTCTTGGTCTTAAGCTTCCGATGATCATACTTCTCATTATTCCAATCTTTCGTCTGTAGTTGTGATGGGAATAAAAATTGATGATTATTCCTGCATGCGATTTCTTTAAAAATATTCTTCTTCTGAATATTCCGTTGATGAAAATGACCTTAACATCAAGGAAGGATGGTCGTTTATCTTCATTCACCTCCATTTCGAATTTAATTCTGACATCAAATTGGTTAATAAACTTAAGGAACTCATCCAAATCTTTCTCAACATACGAACAACTTTCAAAGTAGTCGCCCAGGTATTGTATAAGCATCCTTGTTTGCAGCGGTGACTTCTCAAATTAATTTTCTTATTTGTCGATGTATATATTTGCCCAAAGTAGTAAGAGTTAGGGTTCAATCGGTAGTCCAAATATTTGTTCATACATATTGCCATTTATTGTAAAATATGTGGAACCACGAGTCAGGTTAATAAGTCGTGTAAACAACCTCTTCAGTATCCACTGTGCATCCAGGATGTCCTCATAAAACAGTGCTTGTATCTAATCTCTTCACAGTGAGCACCACAAATAAAACGATCACATTTGAGAGTAAGCACTTAAGAGACTTTGGCAATATAAATTCATAGAATTGGCATTAGGGATACATGAGCGAGAGAAACGGTCGTGGCGATCGATAGTAGTAGATACGTTTGCTCAAAGACGGGTCCATGTAGTAAAGGCTTGACGACGAGATTTACTTGGAGCACATGCGGCCTGGTGATAAGGGAAGCGGATGCGTCAAGTTAGGTTGCTATGACAATTGAGAATCCAGACTTTAGGGGCCTATTCTGAGGGGCTGGCGTATACATGCTATCAAGGGTTTGAGACAGAGTGTACGACATAGCGCTTTGAGCATCACAGATACGGTGGCAGCGAAGGGGTGAAACCACTGAACTTGGCAGACAAGTTCCTACGGCGCAATAGGGGACTCGGATAGGACCTGAAGAGAGAGGATTGTGGATTAAACCGAACGGTGGGAGGGATGTGTAAACCAGCGGGGACTGTGAATAGGTTTGGAATAGGTTTAGAGAAACAAGTAAGAAATTATGATATTGAAGCGATTGATACCAGGATCTGGTATAGTTGAATGCCCGAGGAGGGAAGGGGAGATACCAAAACTATTTTGCTGGCAATTGGTCAATTGATTGACTTCACTTGTCTCTTTGACTAGCTGTAGTGTGGTGTTAAGAATGGAAAGACTAACTGGCGATACTGACTACGATGCTGGCGATTTTACCTTTAATGGCAAACTGTACGGACAAACACGATGTTTAGCAATGGGATCGTGTTTGTCACCAATTTTAGCAAATAATTACATGGCTCTATTTGAGGAACGTTTAATTCAGGAGGCACTTTTAGTTCCGAAACTTTACTTTACTATTTGGTGACAGGGAAAAGTAAACCTGGAGAACTTGATCGGTTTGATGAACAGGATACAAAGGAAGACGAAATTCACCATTGACGATATGAAAGAATATATAGAGAAAATGGAAAATCAAGTTGGAGTATAATTCATTTCGTTTGAGGAGGCGAGTGAAGGGTGAGAGTAAAAACCTGATTCCAGCCTAATCAAGCCTTCTCCCTTTGCTCGGCGGTACTTTTCGTTGCACCCCTTCCTCTCTCTAAACCTATCCAACGGCTACAAATAGTTTCCGCTTAACTTTCTACATTCATTCCTTTTATTCAGTGGGTTGGCTGGTTTGTTGATTTCTATCGTCTACCTAATATTTCGTTCACTGGCTGGTATAGCGTTTGGCATTACACTAATCTATCTGGTGTCTTGTGCGAACCATTTGTTCGACCTATTCTGATTTTGGGACTCACATACCATTGCTTTGTGTTCGGATAACCTCTTAAGTATGGCTATACAGGTCTCTCCCACATAGGCACTACCACATGAACACAAATTGCTGTAGCAACCCGATCTGGAGAGCGGCTCAGCGTATTCTCGAAAAGAAGGCAATACCGAGGACAGTGTTATTTTCTCTTTAAAAGTGGTCCTGATGTCCCACCTTCTCAGTAATTCGCCTATATTCTTCGACAAATCAAACGATGGCAGCACAAGGATCCTGGTAGAGTGATCCATCTTTTTATATAGCCCCAAATATGTATTCCCCTTCATTATATTTGACTATATTCTAAAATACTTGTCGACAAGCCATCGTGGATAATAATTCTCAACCAGAATTCTCTTTGGTTTCCTCAGCTCCTGGTCTCGACGTTTAACATCTGCCAGACGCAGGCTTCTTATTATCATAGACTTCACAACTCCCACTTTAACCCCAAAAGTGTGGTTGGAGAAGAAATTCAAAAGGAAATCTGAATTTGTGTGTGTCCTATACACATCGCTACCTAATTTGGTCCCGACTTTGCTAACTAGGACATCAAGAAAAGGTAAACCACTTTCCTTTTCTAACTCAATGGTGAATTTCGTCCTCCCTTCGATCCTGCTCATCAAACCGAGAAAGTTCTCCAGGTTTACTTTTCCATGTCGCCAAATAGTAAAGTAGTCTTCCATATTGTGAACTAATAGTTTAGGAACTAAAAGTGCCTCCTGAATTAAACGTTCCTAAAATTGGGCCATGTAATTGTTTGCTAAAATTGGTGACAAACACGATCCCATTGCTAAACATCACGTTTGTCCGTACAGTTTGTCATTAAAGGTAAAATATGTACAGCACATCGCTAGGTTGGTCAATTACAGTATTGACCCTTTACTTAACTTGGGCCTTTATACAATCTCTGCATGTGAGTCTAGTGTGGATTGTAGGGCCTGTATGGCATCATTCACAGGGATGTTAGTGTACATAGACTCAACATCAAAACTTACCAACAAATCCCCACTTTCTATCTCCTGCTCATCGACTAAGTTAAAGAATTCATAGGAATTCTTGACTGAAACCTTCCAGGTCTAGGAGATTACGAAAACCATTGACATCCTTGGAGGGAAAAATGATTACACATGAGACTGGAAGAAGGTAGAGTCAGTGATAAATTTGCCTATTGATTAATCAAAAAAAAGACGCTTGGATCATGGATCTATCATAAACCAGAGGAAAAGGCATTGTGAGAAAGAAGAGGATGAGGTGATTTCGGAAATGAAGCGAAGACATTTTCAATGAATGCAGTCAGCTCTAATAATAAATTACAATTTTGGGAGCCATACGTTTCAGGTTACTAGAGAGAGGGATTTGGTTCGCTCCTCATTAACTAAATTAGTCCACCAGATGTTGCATTACACAAATAAGCGAATACTTATACTGCTGAGTATATTTGCAATAACTATGAAGTGACCAAAGCATTTATATGACATTAAAAAATATTAAACTGTCGAAGTAGCCATTTTGCATTAACTATCATTCGTAAATGATTATCACTTGAATTCTTTTACGGCCCCCTCAAACAAGATAACTTAGAAATGGGTTGACCTCGTTTTCGCAACTTGGTCTTGTTGTCAGGGCGACTTAGTAGAACGCAACGAGGTCAACCCACTTCTATAAATGGAAACTAAACTACGACCATAT